CCTGGCACCAAGGTCAGGCTGACAGCCTGTAGTTGCTTGGATGGTCCTTCTGGCCCTTCTTATAGATGGGCGTCACATTGGCCAGCTTCCAGTCATCCAGAACCTCCCTGGTTTGCCAGGACTGCTGATAAATGATGGAGAGTGGCTTGGTGAGCACTTCCACCAGCTCCCTCAGTACCCTGGGGTGGATACTTATGGATGTTTAAGTGGTGCAATAGGTCACTAACCATTTCCTCTTTGATTATGGGGGACGTCATTCTGCTCCTCAATCCTGTCTTACAGCTCAGAGGTCTATGCATTCAGAGACCAGCCTGTCTTACCATTAAGACCTGAGGCAAAGAAGGCATTAGGTACCTCAGCCTTTTCCCCATCCTTGTCACAGTGTTTCCCTGTGTATCCAACAAAGGATGAAGATTCTCCTTAGCTCTCCTTTTGTTACTAATTTATTTAAATTTAATTTAAATAAATTTAATTTAAATTTATTACAATTTAATTTATTGTCTTTTACTGATGCAGCTAGATTGAGTTCTAGATGGGCTTTGGCCTCTCTAATTTTCTCCCTGCATAGCCTCACAAGGTCCTTGTAGTCCTCATGAGTTGCTTGTCCCTTCTTCCACAGATCATAAACTCTCTAGTTTTTTCCTGAGCTCCTGCCTAAGCTCTGTTCAGCCAGGCCAGTTGTCTCCCCCACCGGCAGAGAAGTTTACTTAAATGTTTGTGACAACCACAGATGCTGGGTGTGTTTTGTACTTTTGCTGAGAAGATAAGAAAAGTGATAAACAAGGAAATTCTTTGGAGACATACTATGTGAACAAACAAGTTTTATAAGGCTATGTATGTGAGTACAGTCTAAAGTGACCTCCGAGAGAACACTGTCTCTTCACACAAGCCTAAAATTTTATGCTTCTAGCAGATTTATGAGAATTAAGATTCTAATTAGTGAACTAGTTGAGCATGGTGAACTTAATAATACAGGCTTTTATCCTTAGCATTTTTCCAAACAACTGATAGCGAATAACCTCCAAAAAGCATGCACTTAACTGATAACTGAAACAACTATAATTCATTAAATTACAAAAAAAAAAGACATTCAAACAACAAAAATCAATACAATTACTCCATTTAGTTTAACATTTTCTCAGATGAGTAGATAGTGAATTGAATGAGCACAATATAACAAATGAATGACAAGGGGAGGAGAGATAACAAAGATTTTTATCTGCAGAACTGAAAGTACCTTGAATTTTATAGGAAATGCTGTGTTCATATTAAACAGTAGAGCCAGAATAGGAAGCAAACTTTCACACAGACATCATCTACTTTATGTATTGTGGCACAAACAGCTCCTGGTCATAGGCCAGACTCCTTTTGTGCCAGGTAACCATATGGACTCTAAAAGCCACCACCTGTTACCCATCACCATCTCATGTGGCTATTCACTACAAGGAGAGAGATTTCTGAAAAGGAAGAAGCTATGGCAGCTCTTAGCTGGAGGTGGGATATGACTAGCTGCTCAGCACAAGGCAGTGGCTACTGATGGCAAGGGCAGGCTCTGTATTCAGCTCATGCTGCTGAAGTTAGAGCCTCTTTTATTGACAAATAAATTGAGCTATTTGAATGTGGTCCTCTCTGGTGTCACTTTCTGTCTTCAAGAGATTATTTCCTATACCTCAGTAAATGGCCTTTACAGGGGAAGTCAATGCAGTCATAGTTCTAAGCTCTGTTCCTTCCCAACTCTTTGCCCTGTTTGTGTCCTCTTTATTGAGGTAGACTGTAATCTTACCAAGGAGTCATCTTGAGCAAGTCATATAATCAAAGTGAACCAGAAGGGAGAAACAGAGGTTGCAATGTATCTCTGTGGGTTTTAGAAGCTCTTGACAATAGTCATGCTGAGACAAACAACGTGAATAAAGTGTTCCTGAATCATGAAAAGATCAATGGATTGTTCTGATTCTGTTGAGTATATCTTATTATTTGCATTATATACCATGCAATTTTGTGTTATGGTAGCTAGTAGAGGCCTAAAACTACATGACTGTCTCTTAAATCAAGAGATAATCTAACAGAAAACAGCACAAATAACCAGATGTGTCATTAGCAGTTAGTTTTCTTTATAAAAGCTTCTGAGGTGTTGTGGGTTGGTGACAGCCAGCAGCCAAGCACCCATGTAGCTGCTTGCTCACTCTCTGTCCCCAACAGGACAAGGGGGAAGAAAACAAAAAGCAAAAACGAGGAAATTTGTGGGTCAAGATAAATATAGATTAATAAGTGAAGGAAAAAGGAAAAAAAAAGATACAGAAGCAATCACTCTCTACTTCCACAAGCAAGCCAATGGAGAGTGAATGCCCGAGCAATGACTACTCTGGAAGCCAGCCCCCTCCTTCCTCTATTCCTATTTTTTATTGCTAAACACCTGTGTCACACATAAAAATAATCAGTTTAGGCAGTTTTGTGTCTAAATGCACTTAGGGGCTATTAAAAACCTGGATTACACCTACCCCAATGGAATAAATCAAATTCTCCTGCAAAACACAGCCAGCCTATGCTACTTTACTTACTCGCTGGGCATAACAGTGGTCAGGACTTCATCTTCTCTCTTTTCAAGTACTCACTTATTGTGGAGCCCAAGTTTCTTATCTCTGCTTCAAGGGCTGTTTATGCATTTTGGTATTTAATTATAATATATTCAAGTGGAAGCACAGGTCAAGAGAAACTTTGTGAGTATTTCTTCCTTTATTACAACAGGCTCAAAGGATGTAAAAAAAAAAAAAAATCCAAGATAAGTGAGAAAACATGAACTATTCACCTTTTGTACCAATATTCTCCTTTAATTTACAGTCAGTCTGTCTGCAGACTTGCTTCAATTTTTTTCTCTTCAGACGCACCTCAGATTCATGACCACATTAAAGTTTTCTCCCAATAATTAATTAAAATTATAAGATTTTAACAAACAGATGACTAAACATAAATCTGAATAATCCTCATTAAGTCTATATGCATACACCAACATCACATTTGATCTTCTTATGCCTGCTGCAGCAATCAAAACCTAAGTGTTTCAATTGTCAAAGTATTTTGTTTATATAGTAGCATCCTAAGGTTTGCAATTTGCTGTTGTATAGTTGAGCAAAACTCGTTGACTATTTAAAGAAAACAACCCCTCTAAGATCTATCAGTTAACTTGGTAGCTCGCTTTGCAGCATAGTGTCATGCACCATAGGATTTTCAAGTGCTTTCTGACTAATATTATTTTCTTTGAACCGTAATTTTACTAGAAAGGATAGTATGCTGAGGGTGGTCACATTCAGGACAAATGTAGAAAGCAACCAGGTTCATTCATACAGAAAGAGATTACAGGAGAACAGCTAAGACCTGCAAAGTATGAGCAAAAATGCAGAATGAGAATCTAGGGCACTGTTTTGGAGGGTGTCTCTGCATGAGAATGAGACAGAAGCAGCAGACAGTAGACAGAGAGAAGCATTAGGGCAGCACCAGAGACATTTTGTGTCTTGGAATAAAAGAAAAGACGCAACTTGGGCAGAGTCTTGGTTTGATAACAATATTTTTGCAATGGGATCCAAGGACAATGTTTTCTTTATTCCCCATGGTGTTCAGAGAAATGCATGCCCCTTTGATAATTTATAGTATTGAAACCAAGAAATGCTTGACTCCATCACCAAGGACAAGTCTCAAGGATCCTATACACAGCTAACTACAATATTTTAAAAAGTAAAAATACTGTACTAACAGCAATCTTATCTGTACATTATGGTCTTTCACAAAGCTCTAGATGCTTACCTTGGGAGACAGGGGAGATGTTAAATAACAAAGCATGTTGGGTTTTTTGCTACCTTTCATAGTCTCTGATGATGACTGCAAATGTCTCTATGCACTCCAAATACATCACTGACTCTCTTCAACTCAAGTTCTTCTGGGGGTCCTTCTACCTAAATGTAGAATGTCCTTCTATCTCAGTGTAAATAATGGTATTTATTAATTCGTGCTTATCATCTCAGTGCCACGTGCCTCATTTACTTTCCTAACCAAATATTGTTCAAGCTCTGATCATTTCCTACATTATTATTTTAACCTTCCTCTCTTTGGTTTCATTGGATTTCAATTTCCCTTATTCAAGATGTCAAAAGAATCTTAGATGGCAACATTCATTTGTCTTTCTGCTGCCCAAGCATTCAGTTCATCCTCTGATGCATGCAAATTTAATTCAGTGCAAGTTCCCTGGCCCAAGTCCTTCCCAAATAAATTTAAGCAATTAACTGAGGTAGCTAAATGAAAAGAGCAGGCCACATTACCTCTTCTAGAGCTTAAGAAAGTAATTTAAACTGCTGTTCCTGCTACTGGGGAAAGAACTAAATTCTGTGGATCAGCAGCTCCTCGGCATCCTTCAAACAGTAGCAGAGCCTTTCCCCATCCCTAGAATCTACTAGTGAGAGCAACAGCTGCAAGCCTCCCTTTGACTTTTCATCCCAAATCTTCCCATTCCCTAACTTTTCTTCCCTTTTATGGCAGGAGAAACATAGTCTTCTCACCATCCATGAAGCAGAAAAATTATGAGATTTTGCACCTCTCATTAGCCACAAGCTAGCTCTGACAGAGTGCACTGGTAATCAACATTAGGAATAAATACAACCCTGGCTATGCAAGTAGACGTCAGCCCCTAGAACTGTTTACAAATCACAGTTAGATTTCCCTAAGACAGGATCATAGTCTAATCCTATTAGCAAAACAGGATGTTTCATATATCAGTATCTTACAATATGGTTGTTTGCCTATAACACTTTTTCAGAACTCTATTGAGCATATTAATACATTCTCTATATAAAGACTGTATTTCTGTTGTCCTGCACAGTAACTCCTCAGAACAGAAACCAAATCATTATTTTGAAAACATTTACACTTAATTTCTCCTCTGTTTTTGGTCCTAATTTACAAACAGGCTTTGTACATCACAAAGATCTATTTAAAAATAAATCATAAATTACCTTATCTCTAGGCTGCTGATTCCATTCACTGGCTTTGTGTATTTTAATGACAGTCTAAGAATAAGAAACAGATTTTTAATGTTAGAGTAGTCAGCTTTATTGAGATCATTGTGACATTTCAGTTGGAGAGAATATTCTAAATCAATAGGCAATTACAAAAGTCATATAGCAAAGGTTCAGTACACAGTAAAATATGACAAAATATTTCTATATATTTTTTTTTTACTCAAGAGCAGGTGCTTCAAAGTAAAGGAAAACAGAGATCATGTTTCATTAATGTACTTCCAACTGAATTACTACCTAGTAACTGGCAATACTCCCCTTCAAGAGAATTTTACAATGAAATTATGATCTTGTTAATGCCAGTGGAGATTTCTGTGACTGTAAGATCAGGCACAGGGAAACCTGCTTATACCAAATATAAACAAACAAGGAAGTAAGCAATGTAAGAGGAAAAAAAAAATTGAAAATAAAGAGGCTTCATCTGAACAATTTTTGTGGTCTTGACTCAACCTTTTTCTTCTGAGAATATCCAATTTAGTATTTTTTTTATTGTGGATGCTTTAGAAGAAGAAAATTAAATAAGTATTAACTTGACACTGCACCATTTCTGATTATCTGTCAGAATCACATGTATTGTGATATGAAATTTCTTGTGCTACTCACGTTGTGTTGATGTCTGAGCACTCAGAGGAAGAAATATCCACATTCTGGGTTACAAATGTCATATTTGTCAAATCTATAAAAACTGAATTGTTGGCTTTGAGGCTGAAATTTCTAACATAAAAAAGGATGCATGTATCATTTCCAGTGGTCACATTCAGAGGAGGATATGATAAACTATCTTCTTCCTCAGTGGCCATTAATTGTCGTCTTAATTCCCACACCTCACCAGTTCTTCTAGAAATCTGGAATAACAGCACATTAACAATTAATCTCCTTTGAAAGAGATAAAATCAATTAAACACAGATCTTCACTGTTCTGTACCATGAGCACCTGTCCTTCTTAAATCCTCAATCAAATCTCAATATTTATTATTGTCTTCCTATTTAATTGGCAGTATGGAGGCAAATGAGGTGGTGTTAACCTAGGTTCCATGGTCAGGTGTGTCCACATGTGAAAACAAGCACCAATGACATTATGCAAATGAATGTAAAACCATGTCGTTAATGCTGCCATAAGATAGTAGTATGCATTAGTGATAACATGTAGAAGAATTTATTTAATTTTGCAGAACAATATATTTTTTTTGCAGAATAATATACTGAAAGAAATTAACTTTTTTTCCATGATAAAATCACAAGAAAACTTTGACTTGACAGTTCAGTGACCACCCTCCTTAGTAATAGTAAGTTTTGGCACTCTTCATTTCAACAGGCATGAAAATAGGCTACCTAACTACAGCAGTGTTACATTTAGATTCTTCTGACGGCTTCTGGAAAAAGAGTACCTATGCTCATTTGGCTGATATGGTGAACTCCTGTAAGAGACTTCACTGCCTATATACATTTGCATTTAGGAGGTTTCCAGGAATTCCCTTTAATAGGCAATGCCTTTTTACAAATGTGCCCAAGGGCATCCATGGTAAAACAGCCCCATTGATATCAACAGTAAAAACTAGCTGGCCTTATCAGACACTAACTTAATCCTGTTGTTCATAACTTACTCTTCGTTTCTTACTCTGTTCATATCTGGACTATGCCATTTATTTAGAAGACCCATGTCATCTTTACAACTTTATATTATACAAGCGGCCTCTGCCCTTGGATAACTTTGGAATACAAGAAATGAGAGGCATCACAGGGGTTACCAGAACTATAATTATGTGGAACTACTGCCTGGAACCACTTTTAATGGGTTTAAAGACAGTCAAGGACCATTTTCCAGACTAGAACAGAGGCTATAATATCACTTTATAGCCTGCCTGTGGAGAGGAGCCCCAGAAGATTTTGTCACCTTAACCACTGCTCTCTAAACACTATGGGCCATCTGTTATTTACAATGCATCTTTCCAGATATCTCATTCTACAAACAAAGCAGAATGGGCTAAGTTAAAAACCTTTGAATAAATGTTCAAATGAAGATTGCAATCTTCTTCTCCCATACATGCATACTTTATGAATTTCTTTTTAATTCAGAGTAGTGCCTTTTCAAATACATCAGAATGTGAATTATGTTAAATTAATACCTTTTCCTTTAAAAGAAGAGTGTACAACAAAAGAAAATATTCAACTTTTGATATAAAACTTTTAATCTTGCCTTAGGCTTTCCTGAAATGTAATCACTTTGTTTCAAACCTAGAGGAAGACCTGAAGTCTAAATTATATCCTGTCTAACAATTGACTTCACTATGTGGGCCCTGCATATCAGCTAAAAAGGGCTTTAAAAACCACCTGCTAATACAATGCTACATTGGAGACATCAGTTTGGCTAACTTGGGGGATTAGGTTTAAATATCTTAATATAAAAAGAAAACTATTAGAATATAATAATGAGACTAAAGCTTTATTTCCGTTGCTCTGCTGCCAGTACTTTGGTGTGAGGCTTTCACACAGAGATTTCCCCTCATCTCTGAAAAAGCGTGTGAACCACAAGAGCCTGTGTTTGAGTTTGCCTGTGAAGAAGGGGTGTCAGGGACTAAGAAATCCAGTGGTTTCCCACGATTAAACCTGTTTTAACAAATTTGCCTGTGCTGAAGGGAAGCAACACAGCTTGCCAAAAACATTTCTAAAAGTGGGCCTTGTTTCAGTCATATTTGTGGCTGAAAATACAGGCAGTCATGGACCATGCAGCCCAGACAGTGCTTACTTGCAGAGCTCTAGGCAGGCGGGACAACTACACTGAACAGGAGCCTGAAAGTATCAGCTCTCTGGAGCAATGTCCCCCAGACATGTATCAGCCTGGATATTCATCCCTTCAACAAGGAGATGCATATAAATATCTCTATATTACCTGTGGGTGAGGTAATTTAGCACATTCGAAATCAGAAAGCATTACCCCACAGAGATTCAAGAAAATTTAGTCCTGAGGCTGGCAGGAGGATCTCTGAAATACCCCAACCTGGGACACACCAGAGACCTGAAGATGCCAGTCGCTCATTCCAGCTGACTTGCAGCGGGAGGCTGCAAACTCTCCAGGTACATCCCTTCCTCTCTGTTCCAGTCACGTTTTCTTACTCTTTTATTGCTGCACAAACATGAGCTTACTCAATCAAAATCATTCTCCCATGCCATATATTTCATGCTAAACTATAAATGACAAGGTATTTCCTTGAGAAATGGATTATATTTACTCTGAATTCTTGTAAATCAAATTAGATTATTTAGGAACAATCCATAGTGGCAGTGTTGTCAATCATTAAACCACATTTTATTCTGTTTAAATAAGATACAGAAAAGAAAGGGTGCCATTTACATTGTCCTAGACCAGAACTGAACACTGTAATTACTAACTGAACCTGCCATAGAAGTAGCCTGGACAAAATTATTCCCTGTGATCCGTTTTGCAAGCCTCCTAACTCAGAATCATCTCCCTTGGAAAGGAGAAAAACAGCTGATCTTGCAATATTTTGATGCACCAATATACTGATCTTTTTCAAAGCAAACAGACCTTACATCCAAAATTATTCATTTGTTTTGATGTTGTTGCCAGGGTTTTGTTGGCTGTTCCAAAATGGCTATAGACAAAAAAAAAATATTTAGGGCCATTTTATATATTTGAAATTACAAACAAATATAAATTGAATGGTTGCAAACATACGAGAAAAATAAAAAATACTGGGAAAATAAAAATTTCATTGGCTGAAATGATGAATGGTAATGAACCATAGAAACAGGGTACATTTCACACTAGTTTCAATGTGGGATTTTTGGACATCAGTTCAACAGATGGCTATGCCTTCTTTTTCAGTCTAGTGCTTCTTGGCTTTTTTTATTGCTAAGTTTAGGTGTGCACATCAAGAATAAGAAAACTGTCCTGGTGGCGCTTGTTGCTCCTTTTCATTTCTAACAGTATGGATGTATGACCATATCCCCTTTGCAGAATTGTTGCTTTTATTGTAACAGCTAGGAGAAGCGGAAAGTCTTTACTTTCGGAGGGAGACAAGGAGGAATGAGGGTCCATTCCATTTCTCTTTTTAGATTGTATCTTAGCCTAGTCCCTTCCTCCATACTGTACCGTGCACTACAGTCTGTTCTCTGTATATACCCTATTTAGATGGAAAATGCTAACTTTTCCAAATTTAGTCATAACACGATTAAACCAGTTGTTGGAATCACAAAACTACATAAAAATCTTATCTTCTATTAAAAAAAAGTGCAGTATAAGAACCAGATATAGCTTAATAGTATTAAACTTCATAAATACAGAATAAAGCCTGAGAATATTTGGCACAAGCAGGTATAGTCAAAAGCTCAAAGTACACTGTGAAAGGGGAGGTCAAAGGATCCTTTTGGGTAACTTACGATGGCCTGAAACTGGAGGTGTAACATCTGAGGAGGGGAGGGCAGGCACTGCAACTGTTACCATAGCACCCCAAAGACAAATATCTGCTGCAAACACCTACCAGAAAGAAGGTTGTAAAGATGGAGCCAGACTCTTTTCAGTGGTGCCCAGTGACAGGGCTAGAGACAATGGGCAAAAACTGAAACACAGGAGATTCTGTCTCAACAGCAGGAAACACTTTCTACTGTGAGGGCAACTGAGCACTGGTCCAGGTTGCCCAAAGAAGTTGTAGAGTCTTCATGAGAGATGTTCAAAATCCAACTGGACATGGTACTGGGCAACTGGCTCTAGGTGGCCCTGCTTGAGGCCAGAGATTACTTCTAACCTCAATTTTTCTGGGATTCTGTGTGATACTGTCCTAAATCATCTACAGATACAGACCTCAGCTTGATCTGAGCAGGATGCAGAATGAGGAAGGCTTCTTCATCACAATGGTCAAAGCCTAGATTCCTAGTTTTCAAAAGATGCAGAAGCCCAGTCTTGTCAGGATATAATTTCCTGCCTACAAAATGAACCATACAGATTTTACCTACTACTTTTTCCAAGTCCTATAGTTTGAATTTTGTGCAACTATAAGATACTGTCCAACACCTACAAAGATATGAAATTAGGCATGGTACTGAAAAAACCCACTGGTTTCGAGCAGCACAAAATTTTGAGTAAGTTAGAATCTAAATGCAAGCTTTGATCCATCATCTACATCTTTTGTGCTCTGTTGCATGGGATCTTACCTATCTGCAATTAATTTTAACTTTAATTCTTTATAACTAAAACTGACAGAGGCAAAATTTCTGCTGTGCTGCAACTAAACTCAGAGGATATTTAAACTGCATTTTCCACCAGGAATGTTTGCAGGGTGACCTAGTTATACTCAGAATCCCCCAGACATTTCCAGTGGAGATGCTTAGCTTATCAGGAATTACCAGAAGCTTATTTGAATACACCTTTCTTGCTCAGCTTACCTCTAATACAAGGTAGTAGATTATCACAACTTCGAGGTATTTTTTCAAATTTGAAATTTCTGTTCATACTAAAACACCTGAAATTTTATAACTTGCATATAATACAGTAAGACTTACATATCTAAAGACTGCACAAATCCCAAGTAAGTGCACTTGCAGGTGTTATCAGAACTAGAATTCAGTTTCTGAAATTGTTCCTTCCTTCCACATTGATTCTCTTCAATGCAGACGGCATGAGGTAAAGCCACAATACAGCTTTCAAGGGAAACAAAGCAGGCAAAAATGTGCACTGAGTAGATTCAGGAAAATTTAGAAACCTTGTTTAAAAAAAACCCAATTTTTGCATGTATGTATCAGCCACAGTAAACTCTGGATTGTGAGAGACCAGCCCTTAAATTTTTTAATCAGAGATATTTCCTGTCAACATTATTGATTTTTTTCC